AATCTACACTAAAGACGCGACACCTAAAAGACGAAAAACGACAACAAAAAGAAAGACTCATGACGAAATTCCACACCGAAAGAAAAACTCGACACCGAAAGCGATGAAATTCCACCGAAATGACTAAATTCCACACCGAAAGAAAGACGTGATACTGAAAGCGACAAAATAAAGACATAGCACTGAAAGCGACGAAATTCCTCAACGAAGCGACAAAAAAATTATTACCAAAGAAAAAAGTGACGAAAATACATAGACTGAAAAGGCCAAATCCCATTACCTGAAGCAATAACAATAGTAATGCCGCATTGTGATAATTAATTTGACACTATTTTTTATTTAAAGGAAACTTTGTAATTTTTGATCTGGTTTATGAATTTGGTTTTGTTTGAATAGAAATATTCTTTATGACTTCACTATTTATAAATCTTTTAAAATAATTATATAATTGTAAAATATCTTTTGTAATGGAACCTTCTAGTAAATGGATTATCATAGCACAATTAAGTATTGTATGCTAAATTTTTTGAAACAGATAAATATTAATCTAAATCAAAGAAGTCTTTAATTGTTACTAATATCAGCAATAGTGCTGCAAATGGAGCCAATGTATACTAATTGTTTGAGCTTCATTTACGTATCCATTAACTCCAAGTAGATTATATATATATTGTTTATATAATAGTCAACCTAGGTGTCCAATAAACCTGGTATCAAATTTTCTGAATTTAAATACACAGAACCAACAAATCAAGTGATATTACTATGACCTACCACAAAACCATTTTCTAAAAAAACAAATTGGCTAGCATTATAACTAATGCTAGCTAAGAACTGGTCAAAATTCTGGCCAAATAATTTACTAATTTTAGGCTAGAATTAATATTTTAATTTTTCATGATGAAAATAGAAATTTTTAAAAAACAAACGAAAAATTAGTCCAGAACTGATTTTTACTTAAAAGCAGATTTTATTAGTAAAATTATGAGTAAAATCATGGTCTAATTTTTGAACGTCTGAATTTTAGAAATAAATTTGCTTTAATAAACAATTATCCACCAGAATTAGAAAAAAGTAAATCTAATTTTTTTCAGTGCAATTTTTTTTTTATTGATTCATTTGACTCGCTTGCAAGTAAAGGAATATAAAAAAGTAATGTGAGAGAAATTTTTTCATGACAAAAAAAGGCTATCATTTATTGTATTGCAAAATTTGATTTTTCTGTACTTGATTATTTTCAGATATCTGTAAATCAAGAAAAAATCGATCTCATGGGTGCCAGACTTACTCAAAAGGAGGTTTTATTTATTAAGGCCATATATAGAAATTTTATAATAAATTAACTATTTTGTTTTATTTCAAATTGTAAAATTTGAAATTTTCTTGGATAACAAATATGCATAAAAAACCCCAGTTTACATCAGCAAATTTTATGTATAGATATTAATCGATATATAACAGTTAATCGTTTTATATTGATTAAAAAATAACAATATATATCGATTAACTAGTTAAAAATCGATATATATCTATAATCGATATATATTATTTTTTATATTAAATCGTTATATATCTATAAATCGATTATAATCGTAATTATTTGAAACGATATATAATGATTAACAGATCTTTAACGATTATATACCTGTCACAAAAATTTCAACCCAAATCACCGGGTAAAAAAAAAAAAAAAAACAAAGTTCAAAATTTCTTAAGCCCATTTGATTATCGATAATGATTATCAGTTTTTTTTTTTTTTTGTATTTTCATTTTTATTGTTGTAACTAACATTTTTTTTTTTTTTTTTTTTTTCCTTCTTTTTCAGATAACAGGATTTCGCTATTTTGGTATCACCGTTAAGTGGTGTCGTCATTGGTGTCATGCGCCATTACTATTGTTGTCGCTTCAGGTAATGAGATTTGGCCTTTTCAGTCTATGTATTTTTGTCGCTTCTTTCTTTGGTGATAATTTTTTTGTCGCTTAATTGAGGAATTTAGTCGCTTCTTTCTTTGGTGATAATTTTTTTGTCACTTCGTTGAGGAATTTCATTGCTTTCAGTGCTATGTTTTTATTTCGTCGCTTTCGGTATCACATCTTTCTTTTGGTGTGGAATTTAGTAATTTCGGTGAAATTTCGTCGCTTTTGGTGTCGAGTTTTTCTTTCAGTGTGGAATTTCGTCGTGAGTCTTTCTTTTTGTTGTTGTTTTTCGTCTTTTAGGTGTCACATCTTTAGTGTAGATTTTCGTACTTTTGGTGTCGTGTCTTCCTTTTGTGTATAATTTTGTCGCTTCTTTGTCACTTTCGGTACTGTATCTTTATTTCGTCACTTTCGGTGTCACGACTTTCTTTTGGTGTGGGATTTAGTCGCTTCGGTGTGGAATCTCAACATGAGTCTTTCTTTTCTGTGGGATTTAGTTGCTTCGGTGTAGAATTTTGTAGTAAGTCTTCCTTTTCGGTGTCGTTTTTTCTTTAGTATAGACTTTTGTTATTTCAGTGTCGTGTCGTTCTTCCTTTGGTGTCACTTTCAGTATCGTCGCTCTTTTGGTGTAATTGTCGAAACATTTGTTGTATTTTTAGTTGTATTTCGTTGTGTTTGTGAGATTTATTAACTCTCTTGTTGCATTTTAGG